TCGTGTCCCGCCATTTTTCTTCAATATACTCCACACAGGTCGATTTTGGTAAGCGTATAATCCTTGATCGATTAGCGATATCCTCCTGATTGAACGGAATGAGAGCGATGAAAGGGTTTTGAATAAAGGAAACTATCGATTACACAGCCTGTAATCATATTGGGGATTTGACAAATTTTCCTTTTTTTTAATTAAAAATTAAACTTTTTTTTCCCTAATGGTCAAATTGACCATTGATCAAGAAAATGGATAGATGAGATTGGTTTGTAAGGTTTTTACAAATGAGGGTAATTTACAATTGATCCCTATATATATATATATATATATATATATATATATATATATATATATATGTGAGAGTGATCAAATGAAAACCTTCCTCATTTGTGTAAACCATGTAAATCAATCTCATCCATCTATTTTCTTGATCAATGGTCAAGATTAGTTTAGGTTATATTAGGAAATTAAAAAAAAATTATTTTATAATCTCTATAAAGGCAAAAGGGTAACTTTGGTAGTGGTAATATTAATGGCAACAATATCATGTATATCGTGATATTAATGAAACAAAATCATTTATAAAATAATATATTAATTTTATATTCAAATATTATAAATAAAATTACATCCATCATTAAAATAGATCAACAATAAAAATAAAATACATTATAATCAATTTAACATAATKAAACCTTTTGAATAATAATAATTATAAATTACTACTACATTTCATGAACGAAATAGTTTTACAGTTTCATCAAATGAAATGGTTTCATTGTTCACTAATTACACAAAATTTTCTTAGAAACCATGAAATGATTTCACTTTCTTTAATCACCCATAACATCGGCCAGCATGGTTTGATAAGTCATTTGTCATTTCACGCTATTGATAATGAAATGGTTTCATTGTTCACTAATTACACAAAATTTTCTTAGAAACAATTAAATGGTTTCACTTTCTTCAATCACCCATTACATTGGCCAGCATAGTTTAATGAGTCATTTGTCATTTCACGCTATTGATAATGAAATTGTTTCACTTTTCACTAATTACACAAAATTTTCTTAGAAACCATGAAATGGTTTCACTTTCTTCAATCACCCATTACATCGGCCAGCATGGTTTGATGAGTCATTTGTCATTTCACGCTATTGATAATGAAATTACATCACCCATATCATCATGCACCCTATTCATCATGCACCCATTTCATGATGCACCCATTTCATGCACCACCCATTTCATCATGCACTCATTTCATAATCATTTTCACTTACTACTTACACCAATTTTACCATGTACGAAACCAGTTTCATGAATAATTTTTTTATGAATGGCAACCATATCATGTATATCGTAATATTAATGAAACAAAATCATTTGTAAAATAATATATTAATTTTATGTTCAAATATTATAAATAAAATTACATCCATCATTAAAATAGATCAACAATAAAAATAAAACACACTACAATTAATTTAATATAATGAAAATATTTTGAATAATAAAAAAAATTACTACTACATTTCATGAACGAAATGGTTTCACAGTTTCATCAATACACAAATCAACGTAATGCTAGATGAGACATTTGTCATTTTCATGTTATTGGTAGATTGATCCGTTTCATTTTGATAATAAAATTGTTTTATTGTTCACTAATTACACAAAATTTTCTTAGAAACCATGAAATGGTTTCACTTTTATCAATCACCCATTTCATCAGCCAGCATGGTTTGATGAATCATTTGTTATTTCACGCTATTGATAATGAAATTGCTTCACTTTTCGCTAACTACACATGTTTTTCTTATCTTTTTCGAAATGGTTTCACTTCCTTCACGCACCCATATCATCATGCACCCATTTCATGATGCAACCATTTCATGCCGCACCCATTTCAATATGCACCCATTTTCTCATGCACCCATTTCATAATCATTTTGACTTACTTTATGCACCAATTTCACCATGTATGAAACCGGTTTCATCAT